AAACTCAAACACATATGAATTAAGCAATTCACCAGACCACAAAGTACCTTATTGCCATCCCTTGGAAATGCACACTTTAACAATTAACAATTAAAACAATTAAACCCCATCACTTCATTTCATGATGATGGCAAATCACAGAACTAGCTTAAGGCCTCCCTGCAGGGGGAATCCTCCACACTAAAGGAGCTTTCACAATGGGTAGTTATAGGAACTATCCACTAGGCCAGTGCATTGACAACAAAATCGTCCAGTCGTGCCACATTCCTAGTGGCATTCACACCCTCACTAGCAAATCAGAAAGGCTGCAAGATGACAATAAACATGATAGTTAAAAATAAATAAATAAATAAATAAATAAATAAATAAAAAACTGGAGGATAGGGGATGCTGTGATCGGAACTCTGATTTTGTTGTGTTTAGTGGGTTTTGAGAAAATGAAAATGGAATGTAGACATACATGAATTGTGATTGACAGAGCAAAAGGGAGGGCAAAATAACACACAGAAACATGAAGTACTACATATAAACAAGGCTGAAAAAAGATTACAACACCCCAGACAAAAATGAATGATAAATGCCATATCGCCACCAATATTTCTAAGAACTATGAAAATGTTTAGTCTGAAAGCTCATTGTATCCCACTTTAGAATACTTTGTTTTTCACAAAAGTTTGTTTCACTACATCATGTGTCATTTACTAGTGTCGTCAAAAGTAGCGACTTCACTTCCATCACTACTGGAATGTAAACAAAATGTTTATTTACCGCTAACATTTGAGTACTGTTGAGTATGTTCTTAATGCTAAATGGCCAGTTGAAAATCAGAATATCAGCAAAATGTTCAGAAATGTACATGTTCATACATGGATCTTCAGATAGACGTGGCTTTCAAATGGGAATGTGTCTATGTTTCTGTGCAAGTCCTTGGTGAAGAGCATTCAGCGATGAGCAGTGGAGCTTATCATAGTCGTGTTGAGATTGTGAGGCTATTGGCCAATCAGCAGTGTTTAAGAACCTGCTCAACAGCGCTCAAATGTTAGCAAGCAAATGATCGATTTTAGAAATTTCTGTACTGTTTGCCACATTTAATTTTAAAATTAGTAATGTTTATTTATGGTTAAAAGACCTACATTAAATCTGTTTATCATGTAAAGAAGAGCAATGGAGAGTTCACACTAGATGCATCTTGCGCAAATAGATCCCAATATTCTTGCTTAATTAAGCGCTTGAACATTTTGAGTTTATTCACTTCATGTGAATTTCACTTCACAATAGATGCAGATTTGCATTATGGGAGGGGCCTCTATCTGCCTACACCTCCAGTTTTGTTGCTAAATGGCTGACCTTTGCTGGGGCGAAGGTTCGGCGATGGCGGCTCAGCATCGTGTTGTCTATTGGCCATCGGCGATGGATGATGGCATTGTTTTTCGGCCCAACCCTACTGTACTTTTGAGGCTGATTTAAACTTCTGCATCGAGAGATCACAATGACCCACGAGCTTACCTTGTGCGTAAGCCTTAGAGTTCTGCATGCTGTTTGAGTAGCTCTGCAATAACACTTCCAAATTGCTGGCTGGCAGTAGGTTTTTATGTTCTTCTGTGTTGTGTTTCTTCGTGGTATTTCATTTTTTCTAAACGCTACAAGCAACTGAAACTTACTTATTCAGAGGCAGGAACAAAGTGACGTGCAACAATTTTAATCATAAGGTAAACACAAAACAAAACTTTCCATCTTAAGTTTTTTTCGAGACTGTCTCTTAAGTTTTGTTTTTTCAACTTGAGCGATTTGCACAAATCACTCGTTAAGTGCCTCAAATGCTTAATTTGCGCCTTGTTATTCGCTCAAATCGTATCATCTGTGATGCATCATTCTCGCGAATAGCGCTGCAGGATGTCTAATTGCATTGATTTAAGATGTAAATCACTTGCGCTTAATGCTTCATCCTTGTTTTTAGCTTGAACCACCCTTTTAAGCATTCAGGATGCAGGAAATGTACAGAAAATTTGATCTATTTACAGTTTGTTAAGACCTGACCTACAGTGACATGCTGTAAAAATACAATCAAGTAAGGGTCAATGCCCTGTCACATCATTATCAATCACTGTACTAAACAATACAAAACAAAAAAAGTGCAATTGACTAGAGTCTATTGTTGTTTACTGGACCGGTATGGACTCTACAGGAGACACACAATGTAATCCAGTTAAATCTCTCAACTCAGCCATCCCTCGACATGGCAGCTGACCAATCCAATCGTCCCATAGTCTCCACAGCAACTGCACACACTTAAATACACTCCAGCCCTAAAACACACACCATCTGTGAGATTACATGTCAAACTCACATAAAACCCTGTTCTTACAGGAACTTAAGGAAGGATCTGAGCTGATCTGATGTGAATCAGGGACGTTCTTTAACTAGATTTCATGAAGCTCATGCTGATTTTAAATCAGATTTGTAGAGCAATGTATCTTCAAATAAAGAAGGCACGTTATGAAGTCTCATCGCATTTACTCACACTTGACACACCCGGCAGACTCTGCTCTTATCTCATATTTCTGACTACTTACAGAATGACATAGCATGTGATTGTTAGTGCTTACAGTATAGTATACACCTTAATATGTGTGTGTGTGTGTGAGAGAGAGAGAGAGAAAGTGTGCTAAATGTTACAACAAATGTTTCAAACAACAAATCATCTTTCTTTTTCACTTTTGTGTGAAAAAAAGCCACATTTTGTACAAAGGTAAATAAAAGCTGAGAAATATATATTGTTTTCACAATGATGCCACTTGTACATCTTATTATCAATAAAAAACAAAAGCAAAAACGTTCTGGTTGAATAAAACGAAATCTGAATTTATAAGGGTATGAATAATTAATTTCAGGCTTGACTGTTTATACACACAAATAACCCAACATTTTGATAAGCTGATGATTATTTTATAACTTACTTCAATAAATTGACAATATTATAATTTTTAATAACACATTCATTTCAATAGACTGAAAATTATTATAACCAATATTTTATAGCCAATAATATTTTTTATAGTAATTCACAATAACAACTTAAAACGTAACCATCTGCAAATGCTGTAGGCTTCAAACAAGTATACATTAGCAATCTCGACTTGACAATCCACACAATTTTAATCCAGCATTTCTACAATGCAGCAAATTACAGTTCCAGGGTCAGGAAATTAATAAACGTTTAACAGTATCAGCATTACTATAACAGTGAATATAATGCAAAAGAGAATCTGATAATGACAAATGTTTTCACTTTACCAGTAAAAAAACTGCTCTGATAATGTTGTCAATAACAAATTGCTAGCATACAGTAGGTCTCAAACATAATAATTTAACCCTTTAGAATAATGAATAGTTGTATTCTGATGCCATCACTTTACTGCACATTATCCACCAGGACATATTTAGAGTCTATTCAAGTCCACCGTTTCAAGTATATACAAAATGTAGCAGTTTAACCAACAGTAGACATATACATAGACCTAACAGTATTATTATTGTTTATTTAAACATAAGTTTGAGAAATAATAATAATAATAATAATAATAACAGCCTACTTATATTAATCTTTAATTCACAAATAGAGAATTGTGAAAAAATTGTGTGTTTTTTCTAGGGATGCAAAGATTAAAGATTTTGGTTGTACGATTATAGTCTGAGGAATAATCATGGTTTCAAGTTTATCATGAATAATATGCATTCATTAATTTTAAAAACACTGCTAGTTTAAACGTCTTATATTTTAAAGTGTTATTTATTGCTGCTCAATGACAAAATAATACAGCACAAAATAAATAAATAAAAAAACAAACAAACAATAGTCCATTTCTCTCTGGACTTAAAAATAAGTGAAAAATAAATATACTTAAATATAAGTAATAATTAATACTTAAATATAAGTAATAATTTTACACTGAAAAAAAGGCCCATTCACATAAGGCGTCAGCATCAACGCTTCCTATTCACTTTGAATGGGTGACATCAAGCATTGCCGAGCTGAATTGTGGGTCCGTTGGCGCTGTTTGGAAAATGGGAGCTTTTTAAACATCAACGGAAGCATCAGCCAATCAGATCACTTTATGCAAATTCCCCAGCTCAGACAGTAGACCATTGTGAACTTATTTTATTGGCTGATGCTGCTATAATGATCGCGTCAGCCCCAACTGTAGACACACCCTCGGTCAAGTGTTGATGCTGAAGCCCATTGACGAGGAAGCTCGTGTGAATCGGACGTAAAAAACAGAACAATAGATAAATAAAATTAAAATAAATAAAATAACAGTATTTGTTTAATGTAAATCTAAGCTGTATATATTAGCTAAGTATTGCCATTTTAAAGAGAACATATGTAGTCAAAGGCAGCTGAACCTGTCTGAAAGGCACTATTGATCACCTAGATTACAAAATTGTTTGGTATTTCCATGTTGTGTTTTTAATTTTTTGTCTTTGGAGTAGAAATGTGTATATTCCATACAAACTATGAAGCTGTCCGGTCAGTTCTTGTCACGTGACTTGTGGTGCGCTTGTGGCATTCTTTCAAATAGGTGCGGCTAGAAAGCAGGAGCATGCCGCACTGAGTGCACGCTGAGTGCCACTATTAAAAATAACAAACTTGCGCACACAGGGCCGTTCAAATATCACGTCTTCTAAGTTAATAGCCTCAGCCATAGTTAATCCAGTCTTTGTTGTATTAGCCTTGGTATACAAGCTCAGAACTTCAAACTAGCGCAAAGTTGGTATAACTTTGTTTAGTTGCAGCATTTATGATTAATTAACCTTGACAAATTAATCCGTGGTTAAAAGTGAATTTGATTAATTGTTGTATCCTTACTTTGTTCGAAGCAAAAAAACATAACCAAACATGATTTTCATTTTAGCCAGAATCATGCAGCCCCATCAGGCACATAAACAAACACTGTTCACATGTTGAATCTACCATACATCTGAATACTGTATGTACTCACTCATACTGTGCTGCTGGAGGTTGTTTGGGGTGTGTGGTCCAGGTGAGCTTCTTCTCAACAGCTGTTCTCCTCAAGGCACTCATGACCTGCACACATCCAACACACACATTTCCTTAATAACACAAACACACCACTGAAAATACTCGACGACTAGAAACAGACACTAAAACCTCTTAAATCGACACTAAGAAAAGCTACAGAAAATCCAAGTGAAACCACAGCATTCCACTGAGCCAGCCAAATGCGCTGAAGCAGTGTTATCTCCCAAAATGAGCAAAGATAACATTCCAGCATCCAAATCAGACGTGATCCAGGAATTGTGAGCAGTATGTTAGAGCAGATTCTCCATGAAAAGCTCATGTCACATCTATGAGTCAATCTAATGACTGAATTCTGTGATCTAGAGTAGAATGAGATCATCTGAAAGACCACTTTTGCATAGCAACTGAGCTGATAAAACTACTTATAATCTGCTGATAAACATGTAAAGTTAAGTATTTCATAGCCGTATATATTTAGACATTTAAGCCGAATACCTAAAAATAAATGAAATGAATAACTTTGCTATATTATACAAACAAAAGAGATTCATAATCTATGATTTGCAGCTTTTACCAGGAGCATCACAAAAATATTACGAACTTGGTCACACTTTAACCTAATAAACAATTCACGCTATTAACTAGGGCTACAGGATATTGGAAAAATCTAACATTGTGATTTTATATATATATATATATATGATTATTCCTCAGACTATAATATGAGAGTGTATATGCATAAAATTTAAGAAACAATCTGCCAGCACAAATACATTCAATAAAGAACAATGTGCTAATTAAATAAACAGTGTTTTATTGCTTTCCAAGGAGTCAAACTGTATTCAAATTACAGTAATTGAATAATCTAATGTAAAATACTATTGCATAGTCTTCGTTTTATAAACAATTCAATAAAATTAATTGTTATTAATTTGTCAAAGTTACAAACTATAAAATTTCTTATGCCTAAATGCTTTAAAAACCCTCACACATTCATATGTCTCAAAAAACACTTGAAAAGTTATAAATAATAATCTAAACTCAACATTGTGTATACTACTGCGAATGATCACACTGCAATATTGATGCTGAAACAATATATTGTGCATCCCTACTATTAACTAATGTTTAACTAGGCGTTTTGGTTCAATAAACAAAAAAATTAGCTGCTTATTAATAATAAGTTAGGTAGTAGTTGGGTTTAGGTATTGGATTAGGGATATAAAATAAGATCATGCTTAAGTGCTAATAAGCAGTTAATATCTTATTATATATTATATACATATGAAAATATGCTATAATAGGTAATTAGCCAGAAGTGAATAATTTAAATTGCTACTTAAACCATACCTGTCAACCCACCCGTTTTTCATAGGTTTCTTTCGTATTTTACAGTTCTATCCCACTATGCCGTAATGGTATCTTCCTGTATTTCTCCTGTATTTTTAATCTTTCTATGAAGGGTGGCAATAAACAATAAAGAGTTGATCCTCCCTTTACGCAAAACATACCGCCGAAGTACTTTGCTCTTAAACATGAATCTGTTCTCTGCTTTAAGGTATAAAAACACTTTGAAATAGATATAAAGATGGCGGGATTCTGTCCTAAATGAGCATAAACCGTTAGGAAAGCAGTCGAATGCTTTCTTTATAGATCTGTGCAATTTTAAAGTGACACCTCTGTTATTTAATGTAAACAAATGAAAAATCTAAATAAGAGATTCATTAGCTGTTTTTTATTTAAAATGCTTAAATTATACAGAGAAGAAAAGGTTAATGAGATTTGATTACTTGATTCAATTTCTTTATAATAGCTATTAAATGTAATAGCCTAAACTGTTTGCTAATTTATTTTCAGCTTTTTCTATGTATGCTGTTTATTCTATCCTTTGTAAATAATAATAATAATAATAATAAACATTTTATATACTGTTGTTTATTTAAGAAACAGCTCCAGATGAGCATATTTAGTCATTTAGGTTGGGGGGTCTTCCTTATTTTCACATCAATGTTGACAGGTATGACTTAAACTTTAAGCAGTCTAAGGTTTGTCTAAATAAATGAATAAATATAACCCATAATGCAAAATAATATACTGACTAATTAAATAAAATAAACTGTCTACTATCAACCATTTTATTATTAAAAAATTATTTAAATTAAAAAATTAATTAATAAAAAAATTACACTTTGTTTATTTTGATCTAGATGTTGTTGTTTTTGCATATGAACAAGTGAATATGACTCAAATCCTTTTTTCCCAGAATACCAAAAGCCCATATGGATCTTTTTTTTTTATTTGTTTGTTTTAACCAAGCAATCAGATTACTTTTCATAATCTGATTACTCATGAAAGTAACAACAGAGAAGTTTACATCCCACACAAACAGAGCCTAAGAGCAAAAGAAATAAGAAGCTTAAAAGCTTTATCAAAAAAAAAAAAAAAAAAAAAGTGGTCTATTGCATAAGACCCTATAAAAACTTATCTCCCACCCTGCACCGAATACAAACACAAATCCACACAGTGATGATATCAGGCTCACTGTCATGACCGAATGTGACAGAGCAAACCGATACACCCTTCCTGCTTTTTTCTATTTTCTCCGTCTCACTCCTTCATTTAGGACCGGTAATAACCCCTTACCACCATTCAGCGTAGTGGAGTAATGATCACATGCATTGTGTGTGTATGTATGCGAATGATAGTAATGGGGCGGCAGCGAGAGGAGGTTAATCACTGTAATAAGATGATGCAGAGCGGGTGGAGGTGACAGGAAATGATAAGGGGCGAATAAGATCTCTCCCATCACATGTTTGTGTGATGAGCAAAATAACACGAGCTAAAGGAATCGTTCAGCAAATTATCATAAGTTGTGGATGGAAAATTCAGTTCTAGGTAATAGATATAGACCATTTTGAGGGATGTAAACAAAAACAGTGGTCCCAGCATATTTCCTGTTTACATTTTTCATTTCAAAAAGGGCCACATATTGATAAATAATGTTATGATAGCTGTTTTAACATTAAGTTGTGATTGAATTGCCTCTTGTTACAGTTATTATGACATAGTTTGAGAACAAGCAGCAAATGTTCATGGGCCAATGACATCACCACAATGAAATGATCTATATGATGGATGTAATTAGTGATCAAACAAGTCAACAAACAAATAAATTAAATAAAGATGCAATAAAAATCAATGTAATAGTCCATATCAGTTTTGTTTAAAGATTAATAATATAGATTTACTGTTTTTTTTTTTTCAATCAAAGTTCATTTCAATTAGCAAAATGTTATTATAAATGTTACTGTTTTCAGTTTTAATTTAAAGTCATACCATGTATTTTTTGGTTAAAAAGTTCTGTCTTGATCAAAACAAAGCATAACTAAATCAGTTTTGTTACAAGTGAACTGGTTTTGCTTTACTTTGCTTTCTTTTCTTTTTTTGATAATAGCTGTTAGATTGATAGGATCAAGTCAAGAACAAAATAAACAAAAACAGAACGAAAGCAAAGCCCAATGGTCGAATAGAAAAAAAAAATCAGTTAAAGTTAGATTAAAACAATCTAGTCTGAGTGGAAAAAAACAAACAAAGCTAAAAAATCTATCAACAAATAAATAAATAAAAAATAAAAGCCAATGGTTAGAGCAAGAACAATACAAAACAAACCAACAAACAAATCAAAAATGTTTTTTTTTGTTTTGTTGAAAAAAAGATGCAGTTTTATTTATGGAATAATCATTGCTTTTTTTCTGTGCTATTAGTTTTAATAAGCTAAGGCAGCTGTTCAATTGAAAGGATCTGACCTACAAATCTAAAACAAACAACAAAGAAAGCTATATGTCAAAAGGGGTGTTAAAAATGGTATGTGTTTTATTATGATTACAAATATTTGAATAAATTAATGTAGTACACATCAAAATAAAATAGAAATAATATTTATTTCAATTTGAGGTAAAATGTATGCATGAAACATTTTATTTCTTAAACATATCAACAATTAGGATGTGTTTTTTTTTAGGCTCATCTTTGGCTATAGACCGAAAATAACACTGCACTGTATACATAATACGGCTGCAAAATATTGAAAAAATGAGACATTACGATATTTATTTTTGCTGCAATATATATTGCGATATCAATACATTTTCAGCAGGTGGTTTGAATAAGTTACTAAAATGTCATATACCATGTACTTTTTGGTTGAAAACGTCTGCCCTCTTAAAACAAAGCATAACTAACAAGTGTTACAAGTGAACTGCTCCTTTTGATTTTTTGATAATAGCTGTTAGATTGATTGGATATAGTCTGTGCAAACACATAAACCAAACCAAAGCAAATCCCTATGGTTTAGTGGGGAAAAAAAACAATAGATGTTAAATTAAAACAATCTAATCTGAATAAAACAAACAAACAAACAAATTAAACAAAATAAATACAAAAGCCTAAGAATAGAGTGGGAAAAAAAAAACATATATATATATGTGTGTATTTTATTATTATAATTTTTTTTTTTTTTTTAGAAAGGATCATGCTTGAAAAAAAGATGGTGTTTCAGAAATAAAATAATAATTCCTTTTTTTTTTTTCTACAAGATTTAAAAAGGCAAAAGTAGCAATTTGGTTGAAAAGATCTGACCTAAAAATCTACAAAGAAATAGCTATTAGTAAAAAAGTATCAAAAATGGCCCTGGTGTACGATTTGTTATTGCTACAAATATTTAAATAAATTAAATGTAGTTTGCATCATCTCAATAATATGTAAATAATATTTGTCAATTTGAGGAAAATCTGTGTTTTTGAAACTAACAAACAGAGCAGAGGTCAATGATTTATTTGAGTTATTTAGCCTGACAGGTTTACCTTTCCAAAATATTATAAATGTTTCCTAAAATAAAATATAGTAAGTGCAATGGGGAAAAAAGTAGTTGTTTTTACCAAGACATTTAAAAAGAACGTATTTGAGTTGTAATCATAATACCATGATACAGTGAAATCTCTAGAAGTGATATTTTTATCCAAGGTTATTACACCGTCAGAAACTTT